GGGAAGTTCTAGCAATTTGCTTTAAAGCACAATAGCTTGCACCACTAGTTAAAATTATTTGTTTTATTTAATAAATAAAAATAATAATGTATGTATAATACATTATGTAAATCATACAAGATATCATTTGCGTTGCCTTCCAACTGTTACTTCTCTACTTTGAAAAAAATTCAAACATAATTCGATCAAGAAAATTATAAAACATATGATAGAGAGTACAATCCAGCTCTGGAAAAAAAAATAAGTTGTGACATTTTGAAGAAGTGTTGCTCCTTTTCAGACTGTTCTATTGTTCGTTTTAGTCGTATCCTGAAAGCATAAAAATGTTAAATTAGATTCAACAATTATACTAATCTTTTAATGTAATTAAATTAAATGTCCATCAATATAAATAGAAATTTTAACATGCAATCGGAGACTAGAAATTAGAATTTTAAGAACACACTGATGTTTAATTAAAACTGATTCTGATTCATATTATAAATTTTTTTTTTTCTTTTTTTTTTTTTTTTTTTTTTTATATTTCTTTATTTACAGCAATCAGAATACAAGGTATCCTATAAGCTATTGTGATAAATTTAACAAAAACACACACATGCATACGTACATGCACACAAACATACTCACACGCACGTTAACAAAAAAAGAAATTATATAATAGTAACCACTTCAGCAAGTGGTATACTAGTTGGCTCAGGTCCTTCGGCCGTTTACTGGGAAAACTACGTATTTTAAGATCTAATGTTATGAAATTATCATATACACTAACATACGTACATACATACGCACAGACATTCACACACACACTCTCTCAATAGAAGATTTATAAATATTTAATAGAGGTCACTTCATCAAGTAATGTTCTGCTTAAATCAAATCACTCGGCCATTTCTTCTTTAATCTTCTGCTGTTTGGAGTTGCTAACAGTGGCGCCATTAGTGTGTTTGGATGGTTTTCGAGCTTCCGGTGATGTTTTTCACTGATTGATTTAATGACATCATTAACGAACTGTATATTTAGATCGTTATGGATCATTTGATTAGTTACGTACCAGGGTGCTCCTGTGATCAAACGAGTAATTTTTGATTGCATCCGTTGTATAAGAGCAATATTTGATTTGCTTGAGCAGCCCCAAATCTGAAGACCATAAGTCCACAACGGTTTAATTATCATATTATAAATAAGGACCTTGTTTTCAAGAGATAATTTGGATCTATGTCCAATGAGCCAGCCGAGTTCTTTAACTCGCGTTTTCATTTGCTTAACTTTAGTGCAAATGTGATGTCGCCAGGTGAGTTTTTCGTCAAAGTGAATTCCAAGATATTTGATGGTGCTGACTGTTGGAATTTGATTGCCATTTAAGAACACTGCAGGACACGATTGTTTGTTAAGAGTGAAAGTAATGTGGCTAGACTTAGACTCATTGATGCCTATGTTCCACAGTTTGGTCCAATCTTCAATCAAATTAAGATGATACTGCAGTTTTAAACAAGCAGTACTAGGGTTGTCATCAGTGGATAAGATTGATATGTCGTCTGCAAATGTGGCGATTGTGGTAATAGATGTTGTAGGAATATCGCGCGTAAACAGGGTGTATAAGAACGGACCCAACACACTTCCCTGCGGTACCCCTGACTTGATAGGAAATACGTCAGACGACGAGGAATTAACCTTGATTATAAACTTTCTGTTGACAATATATGATGTTAAGATATTATGATACTTTACTGGTAAGTAGAGTCTAATTTTTGTGACGAGTCTGTCGTGGCACACTTTGTCGAATGCTTGTTTGACGTCCAAAAAGACGGCGGTGCAATATTGTTTGGATTCGAATGAGTTATAAATATGACTGGCAATCCTGTGACACTGCTGTATGGTTGAGTGCTCTTTACGAAATCCAAACTGGTGATCAGGGAAGATATTGGATTCCTTCAGAATATCTTGTAGTAACAGTTTTTCTAAAATTTTTGACAATATAGGAAGAAGGCTGATTGGCCTATAAGATGTGACTAAGTGTTGATCCTTGCCAGTTTTTGGAATCATCTTTATTAAAGAGGTCTTGAATTGATTTGGCCAGTAGTCAAGTCTCACAATAGCGTTGAAGATATAGGTGATTATAATGAATCCTTTTACAGGCAATTCTTTGAGCATTCTGGGAGATATTTGGTCTATTCCAGGCGATTTTTTTGCTTTAACTTTCTTTATTTCACTAACTACTAATTTGAGAGACAAGAAACGTTTCTCGCTTTCGTGACTGCTATTATGGTCTAAAGCAGGACTAAAGTTGACATTATAATTTGATAAGTTGTTAGGCCGAAAAACTGTAGCTAAGTATTCCGCAAATATATCTGCTTTGTCTTTGTCACTTCTTGCCCATGCAGAGGTCTGGGTATCCATACGAACTGGAGGATTTTGAAAGTTAGGTTTAAGTTTATTTTTGACGGGTTTCCAGATAGAATTGTCAAAACGATTCAAACTGGATACATAGTTATTAAATCTCACTTGATTGAGTTCCTTTAACCTTGCTTTCAACTTGTTGCTCAGATTATTGAAAATGTTTTTGTCTGTGGGCAAATGACTATGTTGCCACCTACGCCTAGCTTTTCTTTTTTCTGCTATGAGCCTTTTTATTTCATATGTTGTTGTCTGGCAGGAGTTTTCTGTCGTAACAGGAGTAGGAGTAGCAAACTTTGCAGCATCGTATAGAAGAGTATTAAAGGAATCGATGGTGTTTTCGATATCAGCGGAATTTTTAAGTTTAACTTTGAGGTTAACTTTGTCTTCTACGAACTTCCGGTAGATGTCCCAGTTTGTTTTATGGTTGCAGATCCTAGAGGAGGGTTTAAAAATACTTGCCGAAGTGCTTATGCTGGCTATTACTGGACTATGGTCAGATGATAAGTCGTAGCTTGCTCGTACTTCCTTGTGAATTGAGCTTATACCCGATGATACAAAAAAGTCCAATAGATCTGGTTTTTTGGCAGGATCGTTCGGCCAGTAGGTGGGGGAACCTGAAGAAAGAACACTATAATTGAGTTTATGTATTGTATCATATAGCTGTTTTCCTTTGGGATTATTTAATCTTGAGCCCCAATTGACGTGTTTGCTGTTGTAGTCTCCGCCGGCGATGAAATGACTACCTAGTGTAGAGAAAAAATCTTGAAATTGTAAACTGGTTATATTGTGCCTCGGCGGACAATAGACTGCAGAAACACATAAGTTGAATGAATTCATTTTTAATGAAATTGATGTGGCTTGCAAAATTTCAGATTCGTATTTATCCAGTTCGTAATGAAGAAGATTAGATTTTACAATAATGGCAGTCCCACCATGTGCGGTGCCATCGGGATGGTTAGTGAAGTATGTCTTGTAATTTGGTATATAAAAGTTTGAATACTTGGTGAAGTGTGTTTCACTAATTAAAAAGATGTCGATATTGTTGTGTCTCAAAAATAATTCTACTTCGGCTTTGTGTTGATACAAGCCGTTAGCATTCCATAATCCTAAGTTTAAAATATTAGCCATTATTTAGCTTTATTAATGTTGATTAATGTTGATAACATTTTGACAATCATGGTGTTTTGTTCCATTAACTGGCTAAACATATTTCTAAATTCAGTCAGGAAATCAGACATCGATGGAGAATTACTGTTGTTAATGTGATTTTGATTGTTGTTAAATAGGTTTGATTGCGATTTTATTACCTGAGCATAAGACATATGCTGAGGATTTGCGTACTGAGAAATTCTATTGTTGTGAAGGTTGGATTTGTACCGGTTTGCATTTGTGTGTAAATAAGTCCCGTTACTTCTGCCTATGTTTGCTTGATCGTTATCTGCACCGACAAGGTGAAGGTAGTAAGAACACCCTTTGTAGTTTGCGGTATGATTATCGCCGCAATGATAACAAAGGGGCGGGGCTTCAGCTGCTTTTGTACACTTTTTAGACTCATGATCAGAGCCGCATTTTACACATATAAATCTGCGGTTGCAATAACGCTGGGTATGGCCGTACATTTGGCACCTTACACACTGCGGAATATTAGATGATCTTATTGGGGGCTCAAAATGAATTATTTGGTTTAACATTTTATTCATTTTAAAAATTGACGAATTGTTTTCTTTGGGTTCTAAGTCTATGTAAAACATGTTCAGCAATTGTTTAGTTTTCGGATGTATGATATTAGTAATATTTCTGACAGGATGACCTTCTTTTTCAATTGCGGCTTTGATATCATTTTTATCTGTGGCGTAGTGCAGATATTTGAGTACAACCCTGTATGAGCGTTCCGCTTTTATCTGGTAGGTATGAAAAACGACGTCTCTTTCACGCAGAAATTTAACAAAATTGCGGTAGTCTTCTATTTCAAAAATGTTGAATTTAATAGTTTTATTGGGTAGGTATTTAGTGATGTATTTGTTTTTATTAATAATTGAATTAATATCCGCTATCATAAGATTGTAATCTCGAACCCCGTAGACAAATAAAGGCGGAGGAGTAGATTTTTTATTATCTGTTGCCTCGTCTGATGGTTTAGAAACTTTGTTTTCTAGAGCGCTGAATTTGTTGGCTAATTTTATGGGAACGCTTTCATTACTTACTGCGTTGTTCGGGCGACGTCTTTTAGCGGAAGTTACCTCTTGCCATGGGTTTTTATTCGTGTAATCAATCACATCGCGTGCAGTGGACTCTGGATCCATTGTTGCTATTGAAGACAAATTACTTGTTGATGGAATGGGAGTTGGATCCGACGATGTTGATCTGTTTACTGCATCATCGTTATTTCTTTTTGTAGTCATCTGGTTCAGAACTAGTTGAGTAGAATTATTTTGGTCTTCGTGAATGATGTTAAATGATTCCACAATTGGTATTGTGGAGTGATAATTTATAGTACTCCCTGACGGGAGCACTATATTTAATTAAAAAGCACTGAATTCACAAGTAAAGTCACTTACTAGATCAAACACTACACTAAACTGTGACTAAATAAATGCTGTTTATTATGCTTGTTGATTGTACTCAGGTATTGTATAATCGATGTGTTCGCTTCGAGCGCTGAATGAAGAATTTGATATTATAAATAACATAAGAAATACAACAAAAAAAACATTGCAATGAAAATATTGATTTTTAAAAGTAATCCACCTTTAAAATCGTGAATTCACTTCTTACCTGTCTATTCTGGCCAGATCCTCTCTTATCCATTTTATGGTAAAACCACTTTCTAATATTCTCATAAGAATCATATCGAATCTTTCTTTATAGACAGAATTTGCTTTGATTACATGTGCATTCAGCCTGCAGCAAAAATAAGAAGTGAACGTGTAGAAGCCAATTCATAATTCTAAATAAATTATATTGTTTTATATCTATAAATCAAATCAAATCAAATGATAAGTGTAAGGTAAAACTAGACATTTCGTATTTTAATTTTGAGGGATTGTGTTAAGATAAAATATAAAAAATAGTTTTTAAATTTACAAAATTTTAACAGAGATTTCTTTACAGACTTCTCCTCAGTATCAACTACTGTCATCCTCAAATTCCATATTATATCATATTTTGATTGAAATTACACATTGAAATTTAAATTTGCACATACTATTTTTGAAAGATTTTTGAGTATGACCATATATTTTAAAGTCAAAACCGGGACGGCAATTTTTAGTTATGCTAACCCGGATTAGGTGAAGGGGGGGGGGGAGGGGTAGTGGTTATGCTAAATCATTTTAAAATAACATACTATTTAATTAATATTTATTATGTTGATGGATGATTTTTTTAGCGACTCGCTTTCTTATTTTTTGGTAATCTTCGTGGAATTGAAAATAAATCTTCGAATTTATTAATGTGAGATTATATTTTAACCCATCTTTGGTATATTTCTCCTTCATAAAGTATTCATTCATATAAGCATATTTGTTGTCTTGTAATATTATTATTCAGTAATAGCAATGATTCAATTCAAACCTATTTTTTTTGAAAACCCGGGACAATCCGACACAAAAAATCTAAATCTGGGACAAATTTTACTTTTAGAAAAACCCGGGACACGCGGTGGAAATCTGGGACTGTCTTGGCCAAAACGGGACGTATGGTTACCTTATTAATAATGTTTTATACTTATTTTTGTTATGCATCAATAAACTTATATTTTTTAACTTATTTTAACGATTTTTAATTTTCAGAAATTTGGTATTTTTATATTTTAACTAACCTATAGGGATCGTTCAAGTATTACGTAAGCAGATTTATTACAATTATTTACTCCCCCCCTCCCTTTTGTCAGCAAAAATAAGCAAAACTTCTTACACAAAATAAGCAAAATAAGCAAATCAATAACACCCCCGCCCCCTATAGTGCTACTTGAACGGCCCCATACTTACAAATTTCTGTACTTACATGATAAAATTTTAAACTTGTTTCATTACCGAATATACGATTTTTGAAGTTTAGAAAAATAATATTGTAAAAAGTTTTAAATTGTTCACATAAATTATAATAAATTTAATAAGTTCAAAATTGAATTATACTACGTGTAGTTCAATCAATGTAAAGAAAATTATTTCAATTGAGATATTCGCATATTTTCTGAAGTTTGGCTGTTTTTTCTTTCGCACTAGATTATTCAATTAAAGTGTGATAAACAGATAAAAAATACATAAAAGAAGAAATTTAATAAATTAATACTTTATTACCTAGAAGGTGGTGCATCGCTCATGACATGCAGTAAATCTTCCCCAGTTTTGTTCGAATAATATATAGCCGCTAATCTCTCACTAAAATATAATCCCGATAAATAAGCAGCTCTTTTGGTTTCTATAACCAGTTCTACAGCTTTCAAGTAATCATCCTCAATAACTTGATTTTTCAATAATGTTTTGAAATACTTTGGACTTTCCTCATCTTTTCCTATATCTTCTATCAATTCTTTCATTCCGAAACTCGTATATAACGTCATTCCACTTTCAGCCAACTCTTCCATTGTATCTACATCTAAGGATACTTGATTAGCTGTCAAATGTTCTACCATCTTAGCCTGATAGGTATATGTGTTTATCATTGAGAATAACAACATTGAAGCAAAAACAAAACGCTCGAAAATGAAATTTGGATTTTCCTGACCAATCAATAACATTAGGCCAAATAATCTTTGTAGAAATTGCAGTAAGGATACATTGTTTTTAATGCTTAAGAAATATGAATGTAAATGTTGCATCAACCTCCAGATGCATGTGATGGCAAGGTATGAAAATGTCAAATATAAAGCTGCGCTCAAATCAAATATATGAATGAACAAAATCTTATCACTGGCGCCTAATTTAGGACTAACAAATCCAAATTCAAGTTGAACGATTGAATGAGTGAATTGTGCATCTAATTCTCCAATTTTCATGATGGCACGCATATTTGCTAATATTTCTGCATTGCCTGTGTGCAATTCTTGCAGTGCACCAGTAAATGTACCATTTTCATGAGCGTTACCATAAAGTAGACCATCTGTGGGTGCAAAATATATCGGTTCAAAGTTAACGCCGCTTACTAGATAATGCATTACTTCACCATCTCTCAATGCATATTTTGTTATGTTACCATTTTTGTCGTATATTGGCATTACAGTACCAGGATGTTCAAATATACAAATTCTCAAAGGATATTTATGCACGTTCTGCAGACGATTTTCTAATTGAAAGATATAATCTACGGACATGTCAGCTCCTAATTCAAAATGATAAACAAATCCTCGGACATTATTTTTCATTATAAATGGATTGTATAGAGCACCATATACTTTGAAGTTATCACTCGTTAAGTTTTCTTGCATATAAAATACAAAAATATTTAAAATATTATGCTTTTTCCAAGTGGATATTAGTAATTCTTCGACCTTCTTTGGGGTTGTTTTATATAGGATAAGCATAGCTTTTGCGTTTGGATCTACTTTTGATATGATGAAAATTCTTGAAGTTAAGGCTTCTGTGGTATTGGATATGAATATATAACCTTCTACTGTTCTTGTTTTGTAAACGCCAGTCGTATTATAATTAAACACGTGATTTCTGAAATGAATAATGTTTTGAATATTGAAATATTTATAAATATATTATTAAAACAGCATATTATTTATAAAAATATCAAAACGCGCCTGAACATCACAGCAAATAATGAATTGTTTTTGTATCGTTCAGATGGCATTTTGTTATGTATGTCACTTCACTCAATAAGTCCGTAAGATAACTAAGAAAAACTCATTTTTTTGGCAAATTTTTTTTTTTTTAATTCAATATCGTTTTCTTCGAAGACGATATACCAATTATAGGGAATTCAAACTTTTTGAACCAATTTTTGTAGTACAATTTGTACTTAGCCACAAAATTCGGCCATCATCTCATCATTTGGCAAATATTTCTTAAGAGCGAGCATCGTTTTGAGATCTAAGAACAGGATATGGTCGCTGGGGAACAGATCTAGCGAATATAGTGAGTGGGGAAGAAATTCGGAGCCTAAATCATGTTTTTATGGCTACTGTTTTCACGGATTTGTTGTCCTGATGGAGCAGCACCAATTCTCATCTGAAGGTATAAGCCGAGAATTAGATGATATAAGGGTTATGAATTCAGTTTTATCGAGGAACCAACCAAAAACTAATTTTCCTGAAAAAGTTCAACCCCAAAAATTATCAAAAAAAGGTACATCGGTACATCATCATTATATAATAATAATGCGTCATAGCTGGTTAAAACTTCTTTTTAATTTAGGTCTTATCACGGGTACACCTGATGGTTTGAACGACTACGATAATGACTCGGACTCCGCGTCTTCATTATTATCAAAAAATAATCATTTTTCTACAGATAGTCAAAATAACAAAAGATTGATTACGACTGATTCCGATGCAACTTTCGATGGTGCTTGTAGCAATTGTGGTAATTATTAATCACTAGTTTTTCATTTTTTTTCTTTACTTATTATTTATTATTTAATCTTATAATTTCAGGTCTGTCAAAAAAATATATTGACTTAAAATTTTTCGAGATGCTTAATAAGCTAGATCGATTGAAGTTCAGTATTTTATATGAAATAAAAAAGCAAGGTGGCAATATACAAACGCAAGTAATTCATCATTAACTAAGGCTACTAATAAGACATTTAGTGAAGCAAGAGAAGTTTATAAAGAGATATTTCCTTTTGATAATCTTCAAAATTTCAAAAACTTTGATGATCAGTTGAATGATGAAAATGAAAAAGTAAATTTACAAAATTTGTTTGAAATACTAATTTATGGAGAGAACAATATAAATGCTTGCGTTCGAAAGACGCTGTCTGAAATTATTGCCCCCGAAGTGCAACAGCACTACTCTGGAGCCGGTCGAGTAGTTCGTGGCGAGGGTAAACTAAATTTTAGTGCAACTAAAACATATATCTGTTTATCAGGTTAGTTCTATTTTATCACTTTTTTAAACTTAATAGTATTAAGCGTGACAAATTACGATTAGCGTATAAATTATTTGTCCCATCTCATTGTGCATTAATCAATTGTATAATTTCACGCTATAGTTATTTTTTATATTCTTCAGTATTATTTTGATCTAGCTTTACCTTAGAGCTTTTTTTCAACATTTTCTAATAAAATAAAAGTTTCTTTCTAGGCTTTATTGACGTAATTAATTAAACAAAAAAATATTTCATGTTGATCTTGACGTTTTGATCGATTTTGATTTAAATAACAATAAAAACTTTTTTATATGCCTTTGACATTTGTCACAGAATGTATCTATTTATTTGCAATATATATTTTATATTTCAGATGTTATACAAAAAAAATTCGGTGACTCGGACCAAACAAAAAAATTAAGATCTAGCGTTGGATCGTTTCTGGCAAATTTTGCAGACAGAGGTGGCAGTAAGCGTAAACAAGCGTAAATAAGCTGTAAAGTTTAAACTGATTTCTGTTCTATTATAATTATTACTACTATTAAGATTATGACTATTATTAATAATATTATTATAACTATACTACTAGAACAATATTATTATAATATTGTCTAATTTTCAAAAACTATTATTCTATTTTTTTATGTTTCCAAAGTTTTTCTAAAATGTAAACTTTCTTGAATAAATATTGGTACAATATAATTTTTTTTGTAATTTTATTTTAACCACGCTTGGTCAGCAGTCGGCCACTACTCTTGGCCGGTACTCAGTTACTATGATGAGCCGATCCTCGGCAACTATAACAGGATGACGCTCGTATACTATCCTCGGCCGATGCTTATTCGGCAGTCTAGCGCTGATGTTAACATCCGATGCCCAGCGGGTCTTGCCCCGATGACACATTCTGATCGTCATCCGATGCTCGAGGATCGGCCGGCTATCATAGCCTGATGATCAACCGATCACCATTCTTTGTATGGGCGGTTTTCTTTTTCAAGTGGGGCGGTTTTTTTGATTTTGATTTCTAAATGTTCCAATAACGCTATACAATAGGTTGATGATCTGGCCTTTTTTAGGATAGTTGCGGAATATCATTTCTTGCGTATCCCAACAAACTGACGCGATAACCTTACCAGCTGATTGGTTGCATTTTTTCTCGTCATCGTGTCTAGTCCACTCGGCTGATTGTGTATTCGACTCCAGAGTGTAGTGTTGAAGCCAGGTCATATCCATGGTGACATTGATGCAAAAACTCAGTTTTATTTCGATTAAACAGCTTCAAATACTCTCACAAATCATCAACTCGTTACGCTTTTGATCAATTGTGAGTTTGCGTGGCACCCATTTAGCACAGAAGTTTTTCCTATTCAAATATTTGTGAACGATATGTCCATCACATACTATTGATATCTTTAGGGTGTCAGCTAGCTCAGAAAATTTTACTTTTCGGTTTTCCAAAACGTTTCGATGGATTTTTTTTGATATTTTCCAATGTAACCACTTCAATTGGCCTTCTGAAGTGTTCAGCAACGTCAGTGTCTGTATGGCCACGATTAAAATCAGCAAACAACTTCTTCGCCATCTACCTCGTATCGGTATTTTTACCCATCAAAAATCAATGATAAATCAACCCACGAAATTGCTTTCAATTCATGATTTCGAAAAACTCAAAAGTAGCGTCACTTGAATCTCTGTAACTTGTAAACTAATCGTTCGATTGTCGTGAAATTTTGACATATGTTAAAGTTGTTGCTTCCTACAATTCATATGGATGATTTCATAGCAACTTCTCTTATGTGTTATCCTACGGACTTATTGAGTGGCGTTATAAAACATTGTTTTTAAAGTTTGGCTTTAAAATAAATTTCACATGAGTAATGATTAAATACAAAATCAAACTAATAATTAAACAATAAGAGCTTTAAAATAGAGCAAATGCCATGCTCTTCTGTAATGCTCATTTTAAAGGTATAATAATAAGAGCAACTTCAAATTTTTTAAAATGTATTATCTTTTAAATTTAAATTAAGGGTATGCCTTAATAATCATGAGATGAATTCTTTTAAAATTCGGTTAATCTGTTTGAATTGGGCAATGTCGTAACGACGACGAATATAATAAAATTTATTAACACAACAATATTATAATATAATTAAAAATTTAACATAAACCACTTACCGATCTCTAATTACATATATCAGTGGTATACTAAAAGTTGCCATTCCGCATTCAAATAATTTATTACTTATTGCTAAAGAGCTATCCTTCATTGCAATAATCCTTACAGCTATTTTATCCTAGAATTTTCAATTTTTTTATTATACATATAGTTAATTTATTTTATAGAAAGCCATACGCAAATATATGTATATGATTTATTATATATGATTATTAAAATATTAGGGAATTAATATTTGATTGAAATAATAATAATTTCATTATATAGTACATGGCAGTTTCATTACATAATAATTAAGGTTTTTTATAAAAAATTATTGAAGACATATTAAAACATTTAACAAGCCGACCATTAATATTCAATTTAATTTTTATCAATTAATCAATAGCATTTTTGTTTTTATAAAAAAAATATATTACTGTATTATTATTTTTGTAAATTTACAGTTATTTATTTTGACAACAGATCTATATTGTTTAATTTTATTAATATTTTTTCTTAAAATATCTTTTTCAAAAGTTTTTTCTATTAAATTATCATCAGAGGGATATATATGTATGTTGAACATAACCTTATTTCTTATTATTTATCATTCATATATATCACATGCAATTTACTTGATGTTTATTAACAGTTATAAAGCATATTATTTAAGTAGGGGAGACTGGATACGGTTTTTTGATTAGCCATAATTTTGGTAATTTACCAGTTTTCACATTTGTCTACGTTAAATCAAATTATGCAAGAAAAGGGCGAGTCATAACCGTCCACACCCTCAAGGACGATTGGGATAGGCATAATTGACTTCTATTGTTATTAATAGGAATAATATGTAACACAACACAACATACACATTTAAACAAAGCTTATGAATAAAATATAACAATATATAACACAACATATTTTTTTAAACAAACTTAACAAGAATTATTTATGAAATCTTTTTATTTCTTATATTGATTTTTCCTTTTCCTTTCGTATTTTGTCTTAGTTAAGTCAGACTTTTATCTATTTAATCTTTAATCCGAAAAGGACAAGAAATATATGTCACGTGGTACGGTACCCACGAGATTAGTTACAACCGTACCCAGCCAACACTTCTGAAAACAAATCATCATTATGACCGAGCTAAATTATCTAATTATAAG